TGCTGTGTGTACATTAATGAGGAAAAAAATGAACTTAAATGATTTTAGCATATGGCTGCAATATAACAAAGAGTGAAAAATTTAAGGGGGTCTGAATACTTTCTGTACCCACTGTATATGTCAGCTGTGGGCTCCTCTACTAGCAGTGCTAGTAGAGTATGTTATTTTTATTTCTTAGACGCTGACCCTAACAACCCTGTTCTATAAGTTATATCTGCATGATCAAATAACAGTTCAGCACATTAAAACACAAGCACAAGACACATGAAGGCACACAGGAGTAGAGCATGTTTCACTGGGTTTTTGTTAGAGCTGGAAGAGTCGTTTGTCCAGTCAGAGAGCTAATTTCTGTAGAAATTCATATAAACCGACAAGACAAGGGCTGCAACTGTTGATCAGCTTCGTCATGGATTCAACTAATGATTACTTCTTCAGTGAAACCTTCAGTATAAAATATATGAAAATGTTTCAAATTGTCTGTCATATTTTCATAAGATTCAAAGTGACAAGTTCAGATGACTTGTTCTGTCCATCCAACAATCAAATTTAAAAAACAAATCATATCAAAATAATGTCACATGATAGAAGAAATGTTCTCAGGATTTCCATGAAAAATTACTTAAACAAGTAATAGATTAGCAAAACATTTGACTCAGTGCTTAATTAACAGCGTCAGCTCCATATTTTGATGTGATGTAACAATGGAGCCATAAAAGACAATATTTTGGGTTTGACAGGATCATTCAGTGTCATATTGACCCTACAGCTTCAGCAACACTTAAAACACACTGATACCAACTATGTGGTGTCACCAGAGTGTGGATAAAATTATTTCTGGTCCTTAAAGTGACAATTTAGGGAGAAAAAAAAAACCTATCAATCTCAAACATGAAACATTTACTCTGACATTCTTACACTATTGAGTTTAACTCATACGTACGGTTTTAATTTGACAGGAAATATTTCAGTATTAAAGAGCATTTATATTGAGTTTTGTAGGATTATAGCTCAGAAAAGAACATTTACCTTTAATAAGGACATGAACTCCAGTACTGTGAGCTGACAGTACAGCTGTGAGGACATGCAGTTCACTTGAGGTTCTTCCATATTAAAATAAATAAATAAATAAATAAACTTTTTCTGAAACTGTCAGACCTGTCATGAATGTCAATGAGTAGCTGGGCAACCTGGAACTCTAGCTTGTCTTTGAAAGTGGCAACAAGCCTATCACAATATAAAACTTCAAACTATATGGAGAGACGGCTACATGTAATTACAATCCACCAGTCTGAACATTTCCTCTAACATTTACACTCACATCGCCCCAAAACAGCTGCATCGGCTCTGTGCTTGGCACAGGGGTTTACTCTCCTGTCAGAGCTGTTCACCTGTTGAACGCAGGACAAATCCCGGCAGCCTGAGCGGCTTTGTCGATTTAAACTCACCGATGATCTTCTCCTGGTAGCCCTTGGTGAAGAACTGCATGGCGGTGGCGGCCCTCCAGGGGGTTTTGAGGAGCCCCTGTCGCTGGGGGTCCTCCCCGAGCTCCCGCAGAATGGAGTTGTAGGCTGCGGCCAGGGACGGCAACCTCATCTCGTTGTCCTCCACGCTAGAGCGCTCGTCCTCCCAACTCTCCTTCACCGATGCCA